TAGATAGATCCCAGAGTATTACCACTGGTAATCTCACCGACGACCATGAAGTTATCCTTGCCAAGGTCCTTTGCACACTTTCGCATGGCGGTACTCCACTCAGCCTGGGCGTCGACTGTGACCTGAACAGCCTTGTCGATACGGAATCCATCAATGTCGAGGGTTTGAATGGTCATGCAGGAGAAGAGCTCAAGACGCTGGCGAACTGAGGGAACCCACTCACGCAGACGATCTTGCACGGAGGCGAACTTTGCCAATTGACGCTGCCAATCAGGGAAAACACCGAAAGCCTCAATGTCACCGTACTGATCAAAGTCACTGTCGTAGCAGCCTTTCAGCTGAGAAGAGACATCGACCTTCTTTCCGTCCTCAAACCAGAAAGTCGGGTACGTGCAGGAGTCATTGTATTCGTTGCCGATGTCAAAGTCGAGGTATCTTCTGGATGTCTTCCACTGAACCTTGTGCTCCGAAGTTGAGAATGGAGTGGACGTGTTGAGGTATCCTTCGAAGCCGATCAAATCACCCATGCTAGAGGCGGTGAGTAACAGAAAAGAGGCCGACGTGAGCCATCGGATACTTACGTTGCCATAGTCTGGTCCATGACCACATACATCCCTCTCTTGTGAATCTCATCAATGGCTTCTTGCCACGCCGTGATGTTGCCATAGTGCTTGTCGAGGAGAGTGAGATCGAGGGGCTGCGAAATGTCAGTATTCGCGTCACTGCCGTGGATCGTGTGCTCTTAGGCGATTAGCGTACCGAGTATGAATCCGCCTTCCATGGGTCGTTTATGAAGGGTGAGCCAGCAATGTAGAGTGCCTTGATCCCCATGCCCTGAATGTAATCCAACGTATCGACGAGGCCAGCCAAATCTCCTCCATGACGGAGCTGGTTACTCATGATATCATGCTCGAAGAGTGTGCCGTTGGCATTGTCGTTATCGGGGTCGCCATTTACGAATCGATCGATGAATAACGTGTAGTAGGGAAACCGCCAGTTGGGGGGCGATGCTGTGAAGGTGTGGCCATCTCTCTTTCCTGAGTATTCGGCAGGACTCTTTGCTAATCTGTTGGTGTTGAGGTTGTAATCGACTTCGCTCGCGGTGTATTTGAGGCCGGAAACGAGGGTTGATGATGTGGTAAGGAGTGTAAGTGCCCAAGCCAATACTGAATTAGACATTTTGTGTGAACTCTTACTCGCCGGGAGGGGCGAGTGAGCAAAAGATTGTACAAGCAAAAAAAAGACAAACAGGAATGAGTGACGAAGTGAAGCTCGAAGGAGTGTGGTGGTGATGGGATGGGGGGAGGAGAGAAAGGCCGCGAAGCAGACCAGCAAGCAAGCAAGAACGAATGACGGGATGGGTTGCAAGGCAAAGCGCGGGACGGATGGGAAGAAAACTCGGCCGTCAACGCCACGCTGGTACCGGTAGAAAAGGGGGTAATCTCGTAGGAGCTTGGGTCAGTCCAATTGCAATATGCCCCAGGCTGAAGGCGGAAAGGGGGATCACTGGCAAAGGCACAGGCAAAGGCACAAGAAGCACAGGCACAGGAATTGAGGGAACAGGCACATGGTACAATAGCAGAGTGGCTGGGGGGGGCCACCGTAAAAGAGTCCATGGGAAGGATCTTTCCGTCCGCCTCGCCTCTCAAGGCTCCAGTCTGGCACTGTCAGGTCTGCGAGTCTTGGTCTTGGGTCTTGGTTCTTGGGTCTTTGGGGCGAGAGTGGGATGGGGATGGGGAAGGGGATGCAGGCGAGCAGGCCGCAGGGCCGCAGGGCATCGATTCCGTGATGGGCGGATGGGGCTTCCTTCTGCAGGAACGGGCCAGCCGAATCGTTAGCCCTTCCTCTTGGAACCAGGACCTCTCTGTGCCTCTTCTCCAGTTTCCACTGTCCAGACTCCAGAGAGCGAGTCTGCAGGCCGTGGGTAGGGAGTATATGCGCAGTAAAGAAAAGGCAAAGAAAGGTACCTGTGCCTGCTCCTCTTGTTCGTCAGACCCCTCTTTCTTGGTACATGACAATGTGGCTCCGGGGGTGTAGTGGTCAGGGCTAATTCTGGCTATACGAAGTTTGGAATATGGATATGCAGAGGGTGCAGGCAAGTGCCTGGGTGGGAGCGAACCATGAGTGCGATGGGAGATTGGCGGGCTCCGTCTTGAATTACCACTTTGGACCATGTCCACAAAAGAGACTGTCCAATACGGTGGCCCCGAGGTCAGCGGCGAACAGGGGCGAGGATGTCATTCTGGCCAGTGTGCGCGTAGCGTGTTGAAGACCAAGGATAAGCCGGCACGGTCTGGTGCATCTTGTTGGTCGGTTCGGGCGAGCTCCGTCGTCGGTCCAAGTATCCGCTGTCAAGTAGGGCCCCTGGCTCCAAGGACGTGCTCTCCTGTATCGAGTCAGTTTTGCTTCGGGCGGTACCCCCAGGAAGAATACGAGACGTTGGAGACGAACCAGGCTGTCAGGACGGGTGATCCATGCTGTCGAAGATTATCCAGAAAACAGTGATTTCCCAGTCGGGAACAGTTGGAGACTTGAGGCTCAAGGGGCTGGACCCGTTCAAAGGCGGTGGGCAACGGGAGGTGCGAGGTGCGGCGTGCCTGGCCTGGCCTGGCCTGGCAGGCAGGCTGAGGGTGGGCGTTGTGGCCGCGTCGTTGGCAGATGGAAATCGGAGGGGTTCATCTCAACTAGCATAAACCGTTTATGCTCAGAGGGCGATGGTGTGGCACCCCGTCCGTACTGGCTACTGCTAGCTCGACCGGCTGTTGCTGCTTCCTGTCCAACAAGTCACCAAGTCTTTCAGGACTAAAGGTGCTGTAGTGTATTCCATGGTGTTTCCGTACTGTGTAGTAAGGTGCCTTAGTGCGGCGTAGACTTGGGCCAAGCCAGGAACAGGAACACGTCGGGCGCGTCTGTCTGATCGTGATCGTGACGTCGACTCGTGGGGAAGCTAACGCAGGAGGAAGCGACAAGTCTGCCATGGCGGCATGGAAGGATTTGAGAAGGAAGGTCGAGAAAAGCAAATCAAAATTGATCTTGTCCTGCCTAGACCTCGCGCATTAGCATCCGGGTCGCTAGCAGTGCTAAGAAATGCGCTTTCGAGGCGTGACTGCAGCTTACCTAATGTCGCACAAGAAGTGATTAAGTAGGTACTTTGATGGATGCAACAGCGCCGAAGAAAAGGAACGACACTGAGCAAAGAGTGGTCCCAGCCCTGGGGAACTGCACATGGAGCTTGGAAGTATTTTCCCCGAGTGACACCGTGTGACAGATTGGAATGCGGGAGAAAGAGAATGTCGAATGTCTAATGTCTGCCGAATCCTACTGGGGAGAAAGTCTGAGGCCAGGCAGTCAGTCTGAACTTCGAAAGGATTGACAGCGGCCATTGCAATCATTGCAGTGAAAATTGCAGTGGAAACGACACATCAGCCACGGGAGATCCACTTGGCGGCGTCTTGGCCAATCCTTGGCTTCAAATCAATTGACATCAGCCACGCTCAAGACAGAGTGTGGCTTCCTTCCCTCAAGCCCTGCCGGTCCTGCTGTCCTTAACTCTGGGCAGTCTACGAGTTCCTTTGTGAGTTTGAGAATTCCTTTGGTCGCCTGCCACCTGCCACGCCGGCAGAGAGTACGTCTCAAGAAACTCCACTAAGTGCCTTACTGCGTTACCAGCTCTTTCCTTGTCCAGCTATTTTGTACTCGTGTACGTACCTACACAGTGCTGCGGTGGAAGCAGGGTACCTGGACTTCTCATGGACTTGACCCACTTGGGCAGGAGGAGGTAGCCTCGAATAGGACGGCTGGGACCGGGGTACTAGGGCCAGGGGTCGGTCGGAGGAGCACCTGCGCTTGCTGCCGACCGGGGCCGGGCCCCCTTGCACGAGTCCACGACTCCTACCGCGGTGCAGTACTTGCCCGCGACGATCGGCCGTATCGCACAGAGCGGTCGGTGCAATCAAGCGAGTCAGAGGAGAGAAGCCCTCTTGGTTCTTTGTACTGGCGTGTCTGGGCATCTTCTGGGCGCGACGTGATGGGAAGGACTGATGCCGTGGTTCGCTACTGCCAGTCGCTAGAATCAGGATGGATCTTGGGAAGGAGGGGAACACTGCAAGAAAAAGGGCAAGAACGAATGAGTTGATGGATAAAGATTGAGGAAGAAGACGAGTCTGGCGGGGAAAGCGGTAAGGGGCGATGTTCGCCTAAACCAGAAGCCACGCCGAGCTGAGAGCCAAGGGCCCAAGGACACGCGAACTCCTTTTCTTTTGGTGGCGTTGGCTCTTTCTTCGCCTCACTGCCCTGTCCTGCCCTACGTCTCATCGTGACAAGAAACACGACCGGTTGATGATGGTATCTGGGGAGTCCCATGCCTTCCAGCTATATTTCCAAGTTCCGGTTTCCAGGAGTTGACGAGAAACTCGATTCAGGGCTCACTCAGCCTTCATGAGGCCTATCAAGCGGAAGCCGTCTGAGCAGCCGCGCATTGCATGGCGAGGGGCTGCCTCAAAAGACTTTATAGAGTTTAAGTGAGTTCCCCAGTCAATTCAGTATTCCCCTCTTCTTGTCCTCCCTTCCCCCCTCTCCCCTGGAGAAGCAAGAATCCATGGAGTTGGGATGTTTGTGGGACAGGACGGTGGGAGTTGCGTCCAATTCGGGACTGATTTCCTCCAGTAGTCCAATTATGTTTGATTATCTAAGCAGGTAGCGAAAGTAATGGCGCCCACACTTGGCACTCGCACCAACCACAGGTCAGCAACACACAGACTCCTTTTTTTCCCTTTGCCAAATTGACCACGGGCTCCTTATCATCTGTCAACAAAATATAACGCCCGCGTCCACCTGCAGGACACGCTATGCACTCCGACTGCCAGATAGGCTGTCACTGGTCAGGCAGGGAGGGAAAAGGACTGGCAGAATTTGCTCTCGCACTCTTGATCGAATTTCGGCTGCCACTGGTTGAAATGCGAGTGTTCGATGGCAAGCCAACCAGGCCCCGAAGCCATCAAATGTCGTCTCATCAAGACTCTCGAGTCTGGACAGGAGTCTTGGTAAGAGAAGCTGCGGCGCAGACAAGCAAACACCAAGCAACGCGGGCCAATAACCAGACAACAAGCCTCCCGTTGTCCAGCGCCGCTGCCAAGAAGGCACCAAGAACATGTCTGCCACGCTGTGCCCTCTCAGGTCCATCTGTCTTCAGAATAGTACACAGTAAACACCAAGTTGGCTCGTCAAGAGAGGGCGAATCTCGGTCGTTTACAGCGCCGTCGCGTCGCCACGTCTTTGCATCAGCGTCGCCTGCGCCAACCGTCAACCCGTCAACAAGACAAAGCACGCTATCGACGCTGTTCATCAGTGCTCACGCTGCTCAGTGTGCCAGGCTGACAGTGCCATTCGAGTCTTGGTGCCATCAGTTCATGTCCAACGCGACCAATTGTCACTGCCGACGTGACGTCCCATGTCGTGGTACCACCACACTCTTTTGGGATAAGCTCGCAATCCCATTCCAAAAAGTTCCCACGGCTTTCCAAGGCCGCACCGTTGGCGGCGTTGGCGGCGCTGCCCTGGCGTTTCTTGGCAGGGGAAACGAGGTTTTCCAAGCAGCCAAAGGAGCCAAAGCCAGATACGTAACTTTTGGGATTGGTTGCTGTCCAAAATAACACAGGCTTGACAGGTTCGACCTTGTACCAATTCCTTCCCTCATCTCTCGCCGAGTCTCTCGTCTTTCTTCGTACCTTCACAGTATGAACACTCCAATTGCTCCTTCTCATTGGTCAAGCAGCCACACATTCATCACAGCACCGTCCATTTTGCTGCGCCGTTGGCGGCAGTTTCCCACCACCTTTTCACCCTTTTCACCACACCACTCCACTTTGACCACACACCATCTTGACCAACGACACCACCATTAATTATCCTCATCCTTTCCGCCCATTGTCACATCTAGGCCTGCATCATCGATCAAGAGCCTTTCCATAGTCGTGCCTAGCTATGGCTATATCCTGGCTTGCCTCACTCAGCACACGACTTCTGCTACCCTCGCCTTCATTATCCGTACATATCGCCGTTTGGTTGCTGAGTACGCAACTCTTTACCAATCCTACCTACCTCTCCATCTGCATCTTGGATGGCTTTCCGCTTCCTCATGTCGCTTCTGCAGTCTCCTGCTCCCTCTCTCTCCCCTTCAAACACCAGACTCTGGTTCCCTCACCCTACGCTCGGGTTTCCTTTCCGTCAGTGTCACCATCCCCTTCTAGCGCGGTCGCCTCCACACCCCCCGGCTTGGCCGCCGTATCGACCATCGTATCCCCCGTGGTCTCTCGCTCTCTCTCTCTCAGTCTCTCTCTTTTCCTCTGCTTGGGTTCAATTTCCCGTCGACCAGCTGTTGGTCATGGTTATTGACACACTTGCGCCCCCCGTGTGGGCCTCGTCGTCCCATTCGATCCGAGGCATTGACATTTGCGGCCAAGTACGGCAAAGTTGCCAGGAACCGTCATTTCCTCCAAGCCATTTCCAAGCCCATCCGTCCCTCGGCCTGTTGTTCCGTGACCCTCTTGTCTTTGTCTGCTTCTCCGCGCTGTCTGTGTTTCTGGTACCTTGCATTGGTTCATCCGCAGTCCCGAACCCTCTGCCCAATGCCGTCAGAAGGTACGGAGTACGGAACATTATTGAGTACACTACCCGTACTACGGAGGAGTATGTGCGAATATAGATACACATCCAACACTTATGACTGCTAAGAGTTTGCCTAGTATACCGTAGACTGTCCCTAGTCACCTAGTCCACCACACTTTCTCGGTTTTTTTTTTTCCCTCTGCTGATCGACCCTCGTGTTCACAGCGTGAGTCTCGTTTTGACGCGCTTGGCCCCTCTTCTTTCACTGTCAACCGATCAACCGACTCCACGTCCTACTCTAGTCACTCGTCTAATCTACCCGGGCTTCCCACCCCTTTTTTTCACTTGCAAGCTCCCAGAGCCAGTCACTCGCTGCCACTCCATTCTCCATTGAAGGGTTCCCCGTCCATTCGTTCATCGGTCCTGTCCCTCTTACATCCCAAAGGTCTATATCGTTGTGTGTGCGCCGCAAATCCTCTCCGACCCTATCCATTCCTTTCATCACGCTCGCACCCAAGCGCAAAACCAATCGTTAATTCAACGCCCATACGCGGCGCAGTCGTTCGTTCAAACAGACATCATCAGTCAAAAAAACATCACCATGCGTACCTCAACACTTGCGTGGGCCGCCGTCACGGCCCTCTCTGCCCTCGTCGAGGCTGCCGACCTCGAGGCGTGGAAGTCTAGATCCATCTACCAAGTCATGATCGATCGTTACGCCCATACCGATGGCTCAACCGACCACGAGTGTGAACTCTACAAGTTCTGTGGTGGCACATGGGCCGGCTTGACCAACAAGCTTGACTACATCCAAAGTGAGTAAATTGCTGTAGATGAATGCATCACGGGCTCTAGCCCAGAGACCCTGGGCCTTACAACTGACCATGACCACCAGACATGGGCTTCACTGCTATCCAGATCAGCCCCATTGTCAAGAACATGGACGATGACACCGCCGTCGGTGAGGCTTACCACGGTTACTGGTCTCTCGATAACTACGCCCTCAACGACAAGTTTGGTACCTCGGACGACTTCAAGAACCTGGTCAAGGAGATGCACAACCGTGACATGTACCTCATGGTCGATGTCGTCGTCAACAACATGGTCCAGAAGCTCGACAGCCTGCCCCCCAAGCTCGACTACTCCAAGTTCAACCCCTTCAACGAGGAGTCCGACTTCCACCCTTACTGCAACGTCACCGAGTGGGACAACAGCACCAACTACCAGGACTGCTGGCTCTACCCCTACGGCGTTGCCCTCGCCGATTTGGCCACCGAGAAGACCACCGTCGTCGATGAGTTTGGCAAGTGGATCAAGCAACTCGTCTCCAACTACTCTATCGATGGTCTCCGTATCGATGCCGCCAAGCACGTCAACGATGCCTTCCTGCCTACCTTTGTCAACGCCTCTGGCGTCTTCGCCTTCGGTGAGGTCCTTACCGGAGCCCCCGCCGACTTCTGCCGCTACCAGACCCTGAACCTGCTGCCCGGCATGCCCAACTACATCGAGTACTACCCCCTCAACAAGGTCTTCTTCGGTGGTGACATGAACGAGCTCGCCGACTGGCGCTCCCAGGCCCGCGATGGCTGCACCGACATCTTCGCCCTCGGATCTTTCGTCGAGAACCACGACATGCCCCGTTTCGCCGTCTACGATGAGGATATTGAGCTTGCCAAGAACGCCATGGCTTACATCCTTTTGACTGACGGTATCCCTACCGTCTACCAGGGACAGGAGCAGCACTTCAACGGTAACTCGACTCCCTTCAACCGTGAGCCCCTCTGGCAATCCAAGTACGACACCACCGCGCCCATCTACCAGCTCACCTCTACCCTCCTCAAGACCCGTAACGCCCTCCAGGCCACGAACAAGGACTTCGCCACCACGGCCTCTGAGCAGCTTTTCGTCGAGAACACTCACCTGTGCCTCCGCAAGGGCCCCGCGGGCGCCCAGGTCGTCTTCTGCGTCACCAACAAGAGCTCCAAGGGCGACACCTACCAGCTCAGCGTCGGCGGCTTCAACCCTGGTGATGCGGTCGTCGAGGTCACCACCTGCGGCACCAGCACCGCCGACGGCACCGGCAACGTCACTCTGTACATGGAGAAGGGTCAGCCCCGCGCCGTCGTTCTTGCGTCCTCCATCGACGCCACCAAGATCTGCCCCAACGGCACCACTGCCGCTGGTCAGAGCAAGAGCGCCGCCGGCTTCATCGGCAGCAGCATGACCCTGGTCCTGGCTTCCGTCATGGCCGTTTCTTTTGCGCTCCTCGCATAAGCAACCATCATTGGTTATGAAATGTGAGACATTGAAAAAGGGCAAAAATCAGAAGAGAAGAAGAAAAAAAGGGCGCGACTCGAACGGGTGTACTGCAAGCCAGACACATGTTTTCTTCTTCACATCGTCGAGTCTTTTTTTCGCAAGCAAGCGGAGTTTGGATAATTCAATGGCGGCTATCATGACGCAGACTATCATCTCTTATCAGTGTAATTATCCTCCCCCACCCCGGGCCGCATGTTCCAAACGAAGCTCTCACGTGGTCTGGTGAGTAATGCTATTCCATCCTTTTACAATGTATCTTGGTTTTATTTTTCTTGCATTTGTTCATAGTGATACCAGACCAATCTTTACGGAAATAAATTAGTCATAATATCAACTGTGAGCTTCTGTGAGAATTGGTACTCGGTACACAAAACAAAGAAGTGCGACGGCTCCGTAACCATCTATGAGATCATTGAACATGCTGGTTACCCGCCGGGTAGCTTATCCCGCCGGCGAAACTTCACGATGGCGGCGGATAGCCGGGGGGTTCCATTCTCTCTGCCCAAGGCTGTTCCAAATCGAGACAACGCAGACGCGCTACGGAGTGAACTCCCTCTCTCTCTCCCCATAATATTCGCCCGCCGGGTGCTGGCTGCACATCACTTGTCCAAGTGGCCGGTATTAAACGGAGGCCGAAAACAGCCGAGTCCATAGTATCGTGCCATTCAGAATGAGAATGAAACTGCATGAACGGTGAAGAAGCAATGCCCCTTCCACAAACAATCCCCCGTTTTTTTGTTTATTTTTTTTTCTGCCCTTCTGGGCTCTGGTTTTTTTTTCCCCTTCTTTCCTTGTCCTCGGGGCCGAACGGTTCGGCGTCCTCCGTAGATCCATCGCGGCCAAGCTTTTCTTTCCCTAGGTTCCATTACTTATCCATCCATCCCAGGTAACCCGGCATCTGCACAGCCACCACGTGAGTTGACAAAAACTGGATAACGATAGCTTATCGGATATTCTAAGACTATCCTTAAGTGTAAAACGTGGAGCAACAACCCTCCCAAGGTACGTTACCCGATTCTTGTGCCGAGTTTCCCCTGGGTCTCCAGTGAAAAAGAGAGACAAAGGATCCTTCGACGAGTTGGGATTTTTTACAATGGAGACGGTGACATGGTGAGTGACAGACAATAGGGGCTGGTGGAGGGTGGGTGGTAGAACGGGGGGGAGGGGGGGGCGCTCCATCGATCTATCGGTCGAGTCGGACGAGTCGGAGTCCCACCGTCTAGACGGTACCTTGCCTTAAGAGATTCAGCGCGCGAAGAGAGAGAGAGGACTCGAAGGAAAAAACAATAGGTAACGGACCGAACCCCGTTTTTAGCCCCCAGCTAGGTACTCAAAAGTCAAAGACAGAGTTGTACCTGACCTTAGTGCTTAGTTTATGGAGAGCTACACTATTGGAGCCGCTCGTGGGTATAGGAGGTGGGTGGGTGTGTGAGCCATTGGGGTCTTTTTATGCAACGTTTAGCTCCGATTTATGGGGACCGAGTATTCCGTATTAGAAGTTGAGCGCGCACACGGTGTGCCCAGTGACCACCGTGTGCCACACTCTGTTTTTTCGATTTTTCGCCCGCCGTTCGATACGAAGGGATCGGCCGTTGGAGGTGTGGACCTTGGGCCTTGGACACCGAAAGGGCAAACCAGGGGGGAGGCAGAGGGGGAACAAAGGAAAACCGTTGGTTGGCTGGCGAAACATGGTTCGCTGAAAAAAATGGGATTGATCCATACATAACACAAAGAAAGGGCAGTCCATCCGTACCGGTAACTTTTTTTGGACTACGTGACTACCAATAGGGTCAATTATCTGGACAATTCGATCGATTGGCAGTTTTGACAATGTATGGCAGAGAATATAGGAAAGGATATGGATTCTGCTACTGCCCAGAGACGGAGGCGAAAAGAGGGGACAACTTGGCAGGCTGAAAAGCCCGTGGTCAAATGGTAAGGTAGAGTGTGAAGGGTTGTAGATCAGGGGGTGGGATGGGCTCTGCGCGGGCTGCGCGGACGACGCGCGCTGTGCGTTCGGGACGCGAGGCGGCGAACAGAGAGGGAGATAAGACATGCATAAGATAAAGGCACACATTCTGCACCGCAGAGTCTAGGTAGAAATCCTGCTTGCTCGCCTTTTATGCAGCTCTTCCTACTGCTGCAGCTCTGAGACCTTGGGTTTTTTGTGTATGCAGATGCAAATGCCCAAGAACAAGCGCCCGCCACTGGAAGCGATGTGATGAGATTTGATCCCCTACCACTAAAGCAAGGCAAGATAATGACGGGTGATCACTGACCACTGACCACTGGGCGGACTGCCAGGCTGGGACGTCTGTATGTCTTAGACTTCTCTGTGTGTGTTTCATTCTTTTTCTCTCCTTTCTTTCTGTCTGCGTGAGAGAATACTCGGATGCCTGCTTGTCTGACTGGTTGATGTGATCACCACTGCAAAGGCCCTCGGCAGATGAGTGTCTCTGGGACTCGGGGGAGATGGGGGCCGGATATTGAGAGCGGCATGCGGGTGTTCCCAATAGGCTTGGCGCTTCCAATCACGGCGTGACGGAAAGACATGACGGTTCAGCGAATGACAGTCTCCTTTCCTCGTCTCCCTTACTTCCAAACTTGCCTTTCCTTTCTGTTTCCTTGAGAGACATGTGTGTGTAAGTGTGTGTGTGTGTGTGTGTCTACACAAGCTGAACTGTGAGCCAACAAAGTTGTGTACCGCGTGATAGATGCTGTTCCTTTAGATACCTTGGTGAGCGGGGAGGGGACAACGTTTTCCTGTTTGCTCTGGCCTCGCCCGCCTTTCCAACTTCGTTCGCCGGGAAGGTGTCACGACGCGACCTCCGCGACCAGCGTGCCATCCAACGAACCAGAGCACATCCGAACTTTTTGCTGCCGCTATCGAGCGCGCTCGAGCTTTTCCATCTAATCTGCGGGGAATTGCTTGCATCGTTTTATTGGGTGTCCCGGTCTCCTAAGTACCTTGTTATCGAAAAAAGTTAATTCTTTCTAAGTCATAAGTATAAGAATATAGTTTTAATAAAATAGTATAGTACTTACCTAGTACTTAAATTAAAATACTTTTTTAAGCTTATTATAAGAGAAAGATAACTATATTATTAACTACTTATTATTAAGGTCTATAAGTAGCGCTATAGCTTTAATTATTATAGCTTTAATTATTATAGTTTTAACCGTAATAGCTTTACTTATAATAAACGAAAAGTCTAATTATAAGTCCTTTAAAAGCCTTTCTTTAAGAGCTATAAGAGCTTCTAAGTATACTAAGTTAAAATACTTATTAAGATATTAATAACTAAACTAACCTTATAATAACGACCTTAATAAAAAACTTAGTAAATAACGTTAGAAGTTTTATTAACGTTAAGTACGATTTACGAAGCGTAGTAATGCGGCTATAAAATATTACTAATATATCTTATATTAAAAAGGGTATTATTAATATTAACGAGATAGATAGGGCCGTATTAATATAATACCTCGGCTTTTTTTTATAGCTCGAGGATAATTACTTTAGATAGTATTAAAAGTTTATTAAAAAGCTCTCTTAAGTACTTTAGTATATTTATTATTATTTTTATAATAATAAAACTCCTAGTGCTTATATATAAAAATAGGTTACTTATTTTTAAATAATAATACTAGCTTATTAATAAGCTATCGAAATTATAATTCTAATAATCCTTTAATAAGAAAGAGGGTAGAATAAAAAAAAGGATAGGTAATTTATAAAAAGGGTTAAGGTTAAATAGTACGGAATTCGAGGGTAGGGTAGCGTCTATATGTACTGCGGTAATCCTCTAGTAATACAAAACGATGGAGTTAAACAGTGGTGTCCCGGTCTCCCTACTTGGCCTACAGACCTTCGGACCCTCGGAAACGAAAGCAAACAGAAACGAAGATCGCTGTCTTCCTGCTGATCCTACCACCTCATGATAAAGCATGCGGCACAGAAAGATGAGAGTTGAATGGGTCAACGGGAGAGGATGCTCGAGCCCTCGGCGATCTTCGCTCAGGGTGCCGGGTCATATTCGGCACCCCGTCCTGTCAAAGACCAGAAGGCCAAGAGATGTTCGTTCATTGCCTAGTCGTTATGGGAGTACGGAGTACGGATGCGCTTCACCCTTGCAGAGTTCCCTTGCAGTTGGAGTCTCCTCACGAAAAGAGCTCCCGAGCCAAAGTGTCTCTAGATGGGTCGATGGACACCGCTTTGCCTGATTCCCTCTCAGAAAGTTCGAGACTGACTGTAATGTGGTATTCTTACAAGGTAATTCTATTTTTGAAAAGCGAAAAAAGAGAGCCCAACGTCGATCACCCCGCTCAGGCCGGACATTTTTCTTTCTCAATTTCTACCGGTTGCTAAGATTCTCTCTCATCGCCTCGCTCATCTCGCGTGGACCGCGTGATGTGGATTTTTGCGTGATTGTTTTATTGCTTTCCCATCGCACTTCATTCCTTTCACCTGTTTTCAAGATTTTTTTACCGAACAGAGTAATCTGCCAACCTGCAGGCTGCCTTACGGCCGGAGAAACGAATATTGGTCCGTGAGAACCTGGTAAAGAGGCCACGAGGATCGGCATGTGGGAACTCGGGATTCTGGGAAGGGGACGCATGTCTCATCGCCTTCATTTGACAGCGACATGAAGGTCTTGGTTGTTGCTTATTTCTCCTTCTCTCTCTGCTGTTCGAAGCGAGACTTTTGGTTCTCGGGTAGAGGACCGCATGCGTCTCTGGGTCGAGATTTAGAGACATGCGTGCCGGGCAGGCTTCGCCCTGTGGGCGACGAGGCTGACTTGGCTTGAGCATCTCTTTGCCAACGAGTACTGCGTATACCAGGTACCGTGCGTCACGTTTATCACGGTATGATGAGACTGTTCTTTTTTTTGGTTGCGTCTTGTCTCCAACCCATCATCGCATCAACGACATCGTCGCTTGGGGTTGGAGGTTAGAGTTTTGATGTCTAGGTGGTTCGTCCGAAAGATTGGGGGCTTACTTTTCCCCCGCTCCCCCATAGTGGTTGAGCATGGAGACGAATTCAGCAAATGTGCATCAACAAACGAACAAGAAGGCAAAAAGAAGGCAGAGCGACCGCTCTGATCGCCAAAAATGTCAAAAGATTCCGAAACCGAGAATCGAACTCGGGGCTATGCCTAACCTCTCAAAGAGATGAGAGGGCATCATGTTGGCCACTACACCATATCGGATATTGTTGGCAGAGAAGCTAATTTGACTGCCTACGTAGCTCTGCGGGTCCGCCAGTGCACGTGACAGACGCAGCGACACCACACTTCAGGTTCAAGTCTCCCTTTTGGAAGGGAAAATCCTGGGTAATGCAGCAGTCTAGGGAATACACTGCTCTCTTGTGTTCTCCTCTTTCAATGCGGTGTCACTTCAAAGCACCGTGCTCTTAGCCTGTCGTCTCGATAAAGTTCTGTGGAATGCTGAGTTACAGCTTGCGAGAGAGAGCCGCATGTACGACCTCGTGTACGGATACGTGATTCGGGCTACGACACATGTGTTCCACATCCCCCAGTTTTAAGGGTTTTTTTTATCTCAGTTGAACTATTACGATTAGGTTAAGCACAGTTTACACCAGATCGGAATGTTAGATGATGGACTTGGAAGCGGATGCTCCCGCCGCTTTCTTGTGCTTCCCGAGAGGGAGACGGTGTCTGCCGAGGAATGCGGAAAGGCACTATGTGCGGGTTCCAAGAGAATTGAATTCCATGCTTCTTTTGACGTCCTCCTATTTATGGAGGTTGTCTTGAGATCACCAACCTTCTGACGCATGAGCATTTGATTTTCTGTAGTAATTGAATGGCCCTATAAAATCCCGAGATGTACGAGGGAACTCGGCTCGATTTAAGCTTCCAGCTGCGCGTGTTCACGGCATCTTTATGGCGAACACTGTTCCTGTAGAGTCTTTGACTACACCTCAAGTCCCTGATGTTTTCCCAATCTGAACCCTATCGACCTATAGTCCTCTTCCCAGTTTCGCCCCATGCAATCATTGTGGTTGAGACTTCTTTTCCACGCTCGGAGATCAGTAACGTGCTAGCACTCACATAACCGCTCGTTGAAGCAGTCTCCTATAAAATTGAAGCTTCATACATGTCGAGGCAAATGCATGAATAATTACACTTGCTGCCATGGTGGAAGACCTTGTGACGTGGTCCCTTCGTCGGCGCATGCCATTTACGCATCTCAAAGCAAGTATTGACAATATGTGGTCATCTAGCGCAAATATTGCGGCCGCGCGATCAAGTTCAACTGAGCGAGCTAAGCTTTTGTCATTCCCCTCAACCGGTGCCCGTAGGTGATGTGACTCGGCAAGATGGATTCTGAAGGTCGTTGAATTCATCTTACCTCCATAGACTACCGCCAGCCGCCGCAGGAGATACTGATATTGCAGAGACTCCATATACCGCATCAGCTTGAGGAGACGTGTGGCTTTTGCAGTTTGAGGCCGTGCAGCCTCTCACTACCTTTCGTTCTCGCCAGAAGGAGCTACTCATTCATCCACGGTGCTGGTCCTGAACCCCTCTATCCTGGAGAGAGGAAGGAGGGCGATGGCTGCCAGGTCACAGAACACGAACAGAACGCATCGATATCTCCAGCATCTCCCTGGATCACCCAACTTTCATGACACAGCACCGTTCCGTTTTATGAACTAGATTCTGGGTTTACAATCGCGCTCAAGTCAGGCCAATGGGTGGCCTTCTTATCTAGAAGGCATATATATCTAGGAAGCCCAACGTCTTTCGTCACTTCATTACTCTGGGACGGGGTCTCGTCTTCAAAAGACACAAAGACAAGCTAGAATAGAACGGACGAATACGTCAGCTCGAAAATGGAAGTTATCGAGGTAAAACTGCACTTCTCTTCATTTCCGATCATCAAGACATATCCTCCAGAGTGGCCATCCATGAGAGCATACCCGAAACTGCGGAGCAACTGGGGAAGCAGACTTATCCGCCAACGAGCAAAGGTGCTATCACTGCTGTCTATATGCTCTTGAGGGCACTTGTCTCCTCAGTCTTTGCCTGGAAGTAGTGGTGTCTTTCACAGTCGGCTCATCTTCAAGATGCTATTCCAAACATGCCCATCCTCCGGCAGCTAAGGTCGAAGAGAGCAGCACCAGCACGTCGCATGTGGAAAGTTCAAATCTCACAGAATATCAAATTACATGTGCTACATTAGGCCAACTCAGGACACACAGTAAAGTTTTGTCCCTGGTGGTCTTGGAGTAAAATGCCACTCACCAAAGTCCACAAACGATCCAGTCACCACATGCCAGCTCACAAATCCGCAGAATCCAACTCTTTACCTCCTACCTGCGGCTTGTTGTAAACAAAGACAGGGAATCCTGGTCCGTGAGTGAGGCGTTCCCGACGTAGATGAGACTCCGCGAGCCTCTTTCCTTTTCGTCTGTTTTTTTCGTCTGTCCTTTTCGCCCGAGGTGTAAGCCGAACTTTTAACAGGTTCAAAAGTAGACATGTTTCCTAGGCCACCTGTTTCTACCCAGTTCTTAGTGACTAAATAAGCAAGAAACGAAATCGTTGTCAAGCCATGCCTCAAGTCAAATTTTTCACTGGGTCGGAGAATAAGCGAGCTCGATGATAAGCCGCATGTCAGGAAACGGCCAGGCTGTGACAAGTTAAGCTCAGCATTTTCACAGGTGAACGATAGTGGGTATCAGATGATGGGTTGGTTGTAACAAAGAAGGATATAAAGCCATGCAAAGGTATCTCTCTCCTGGCTTCGCCCCCATCGGCTTCCCTCCACGTTGGAAACATGCCTCCTTCTCCTTCCATCAACCCTCCTAGGTGAAGGCGAATAGGCAACATGACATCTGCCTGCTCTGTCGTATATGTGCATACACCACGCATCACCAAGAAATTCCTCTTCCCTCTTTCCCCCTTTCTTCCCCTCTCTTTCTTCCTTTCTCAAATGGTGCAGAAGACAGTAACACCTCCCTCAGCAGCCCCATTCTGCGTCATCTGGATGTACGTCGCGGGCGGACTACTGCTACCCGCGGGACAGTTCCACTGGTTCTTGAACGCCGCCGGCAACGGCCCTCCGCTGATGGATTTTTTCGCGCCGGTGCAGTACGTGTTGCGGATGGCCTGGCGGCACGGGTTCGGGCACGTCTCGTCGCAGGACTCCGGGTTGGGCTTGGGGACGGGCTCCGGGAGGGCCAGGGCGGCGGCGGTGGCGGCGAAGAGGAGGATGGTGGGGAGTTGCATCGTGGCGGCGGTTGTGTGGTTTGTTGTTGAGAGCGGTGCAAGGTGTAAGTTGTGAGTGAGGTTGGGTGTGCTATTGGTTTGATGCAAGAGAGTGTTGGTGAGCGAGTGACTGAGTGAGTGAGTGTAAGTGTGATGGAGAGATAGCGGTATCGAGAAAACGAGAGCACGAGAGATAGAACGGCTGGCTTGTAGCTATAAGTTACCTTATATATTATACTTCTTCTGCTCTAGCCATGTCCGTACACCAAAATCGTATACGGATACGGATACACGGCAGCATGAATGCCGTCAGGTATGGCTGCGTATCGAGTACGGAGTAGACCGAGTCATTCAGAACTGCCTCACTTCCTACTCAACTCTATCCAGCTGCGCATTTACGCCATGACCCTCTCAGCCCGGAGTTGATGAGTAAAGAACAGACCTGAAGATGGCCGTCGTCACAGCGTCGAGTCATTCAAAACCATCTCATATTAAACACAATAACAAGCAGAAGCCAATTCCACCCCGTGGTCTATGGTACCGTACAGGCGGGTAGTTTTAAGGTTTTTTTTTAGGAAGCCGAAGCCTCGTCTCCATCTCATCTTACTCCATAGTCAGTTCCCAGGTTTCGTGTAGACAGTTCGTCTCGTCTCGCTCCTTATATGAATACGCTTTGTTGCCAAGATCCTCCCTCCTTCTACTGCGCAGGGCTTCTACGAAATTCTAGCCGCCCGCTGGCGGGGAGGTAGGGGGGAGTAGTCCAGGGCTCCAGATTGACACTTGTAGCCATACAAAAGTGACCGAACAGGATCACTTCATCTCGTTCCCGGGAAGATGACCCATTTTGGAAGTCCGCGATGCTCTCCATCGACATGATGAGCGGGACCTTGCTTTACCATCGCAGTATCCGCCATCAACGCGGCAAACTCACCGAAAGTGAGACTTTACTGAACCTCACTCACATTCTACGAAGTAGAGCACCATAGCCGACGAGAGAGATGGCCATAAAAGCTCGACAAATACATCTGGGCCAATCAAGCCGTCTGTTCGTGTGAGTCCCTCAGATGAGACTCAAAATGCTTGCCCCAGATTTACTGCCGGCCATCCCGCATATGCAGAGGAGACCCCAAAAGGCAAGTAAAGTTAAGTTGCACTCATCTTGCTCGGGGTCCTTCACGGGAAGTGCGGGATGAGTAGTAGCTTGAGGTGGAGGAAGAAGAGAGGAGGGATGAACCTTTCACCAGATGCCGGGTAAATATTTCATCAAAACTATGTAGAAGGGCAGTTTTGGAAAGCTCAAGATATAGAAACATTCAGCAGAGATATAACGTAGTCAAGAAGCTGAACTATTGAAGAGTCTACGACAGCATCAGATGATGCCTCTCAGTCACAACCACACAAGGGAATAAAGCATGTGTTCAAGAGGTCTCATTTATGCGTTGTATACTTTACACAATGGTGGAGCCATGCTCCATGCTGCCGACGCCGATTAACCTGCCAACACCAGAGACGAAAAATTGCATGGAATCTTTGGGTACTGTCTCTTTTGAATCCCGAAACGAAGCAACAACAACAAATCTATGGAATTTAGAGCTCGTCGTGGGAGGGGGGCTCGTCCTCGCCACCAGCGCCACCGGCGCCCTGGTACATCTTGGAGGTGATGGGGTAGGCGACGTTGGACAGCTTCTCCTTCTGCTCCTCGAAGTCCTCAGTGTTGGCGGTGGCGCCGTTCTCCTCAAGCCAGTCGGTGGTCTCCTTGACAGCCTCGAGGATCTGAGAATCATGTTAGTAATCTGTCGGCACACGGTAAAAGGCTTATGGCAACTTACAGTCTCCTTGTCCTCATCGTCAATCTTGCCACCAAGACCCTCGTCGTCGTTGACCTGGTTCTTCAGGGAGAAAGCGTAGTTCTCAAGACCGTTGCGAGCCTCAATGCGCTCACGGGTGGCCTTGTCCTCCTCGGCGTACTTCTCAGCCTCGGCGACCATGCGGTCAATCTCATCCTGGGTAAGACGACCCTTGTCGTTGGTAATGGTGATGGACTCCTGCTTGCCAGTGCCCTTGTCGTGGGCAGAGACCTTGAGAATTCCGTTGGCATCGAGCTCGAAGGAGACCTCGATCTGGGGAACGCCACGGGGCGCGGGAGGGATGCCAGTGAGCTCGAACTTGCCGAGGAGGTTGTTGTCCTTGGTAAGGGAACGCTCACCCTCGTAAACCTGGATGAGAACGACGGGCTGGTTGTCGGCGGCGGTGGAGAAGATCTGGCTCTTGCGGGTGGGGATGGGGGTGTTGCGCTGGATAAGCTTGGTCATGACACCTCCAGTGGTCTCGATACCGAGAGTCAAGGGGTTGACGTCCATGAGGACGATGTCCTCAGTACCCTCCTCACCGGAAAGGACACCGGCCTGAACGGCCGCACCGAAAGCGACGGCCTCATCGGGGTTGATGCCCTTGGAAGCCTTCTTTCCGCTGAAGTACTCCTCAATAAGGTTGACAACCTTGGGAATACGGGTAGAGCCACCGACAAGAACGATGTCGTCAACATCCTCCTTCTTGACCTTGGCGTCCTTGAGCACCTGCTCAACGGGCTTGAGGGTCTTCTTGAAGAGATCCATGTTGAGCTCCTCGAACTTGGCGCGGGTAAGAGTCTCAGAGAAGTCCTTGCCCTCGAAGAAGGCCTCGATTTCAATACGAGTGGACATCTGGGAAGAGAGGGTACGCTTCGCCTTCTCGGCCTCACGCTTGAGCTTACCCATGGCCTTGAGGTCCTTGGTGATGTCGACGTTGTTCTTCTTGTTGTAGGACTTGGCGAAGAAGTTGATGATGCGCTGGTCGAAATCCTCACCACCCAAGTGGGTGTCACCGGCGGTAGCCAGAACCTCGAAGACACCCTGGTCGATGGAAAGGAGGGAAACATCGAAAGTACCACCACCAAGGTCGTAGACGATGATCTGGCGCTCACCATCGGTCTTGTCAAGACCGTAGGCGATAGCGGCGGCGGTGGGCTCGTTGACAATGCGGAGAACGTTAAGTCCGGCAATGACACCAGCATCCTTGGTGGCCTGGCGCTGGTTGTCGTTGAAGTAGGCGGGGACAGTAACGACGGCGTGGGTAACCTTCTTGCCAAGGTAGGCCTCGGCGACCTCCTTCATCTTGCCCAAGATCATGGCGGAAACCTCTTCGGGGGTGAAGCGCTTGGCGGAGCCAGAAACCTCGACCTCAACGACGGGCTTGCCATCCTTCTCGATGACCTTGTAGGGGAAGTGCTTGATGTCGGACTGAACGGCCTTGTCGGAGAACTTCTGGCCAATCATACGCCTGAAAGAGTGATTAGCAATGTTATCTCGAGCGGTCGACGGTCGGGGTAGGAGCTCACTTGATATCGAAGATGGTGTTGGTGGGGTTAGCGGCGGCCTGGTTCTTGGCAGCGTCACCGACGAGTCTCTCCTCCTCGGTGAATGCGACGTAAGATGGGGTGATACGGTTTCCTATGAAGCAGCAGAGTCAGCAAAGTTGCTGGAATTGGGGGATCGGGAGCAGGAGCAGCTGCGACCACGATAAGACTTACCCTGGTCGTTGACGAGAATCTCAACCTTGCCCTTCTGCATCACACCGACGCAAGAGTAGGTAGTTCCAAGATCCTGGAGATTGGAAGTTAGAGAGAACGTCGCATTTATTTGAATCTGTTGGCGACAGAAGATTGGCCGACAAAGGGCGCAATCGTCGCCAGGGAAGCTAGGAGGTGCAACTTACGATACCGATGACAGTTCCGTAGCTCTCAGTGTCCTGAGCCTGGGCAGTCTGAACGAAAGCCAGGGGGGAGAAGAGGAGAGCCATCCAGGCCAAGAGGCCGAAGCCCAAGGCCATCGAGTTTCTGGATCTCGACATTGTGAATTTCTGGCGGTGCCGTGAAGCTCCCCTGTGTGTGGTATTGGGATAGCTCTTTGTACCTCGAAAGATTGGTGTCGGGGGAAAAAAAGAAAGGAGACAAAAGACGTCAAAGACGCGCTGGTGAGAGAGAGGGTTTTTGGATTCCCTTCTACTATTTACACACCCAATCGAGTTGAGGTGGCTTTGGCAGTGGTGAATTGGGAGAGGTAAAGTGTCGGCGGTGGAAAGGAAGAGCTGCCGCCTTTATGAATGCCTTCTCCAAAAAAAAAGTCGAGGTGTCCAGATTGCACAAAAGGCCAGATTTCACGTTGCGAGGCGCCACACGTGACAGGGGTCTCTTCCTTTTGGGGTGTGGGTGTCTCTGGTGGATCCTTACTGTGTGGACCCTTGGTGCAGCCGTACTCTATTTGGTGCCTTTGCCTAAGGCAAGGTATGGAAGGCACCACCTGCACGCAGCAGGTGAGCAGCAAGGTACCTCGATGCGCTGCTGCTCGGCAGATAGAGACACCCAAGGTTGGGATGGCAGGCAGGAATTAGGTGCTCGGGGGACACATCTCCGTTGCAGCAGAACAGTGAGAACGTACCGTGCGAGGTTTCTCCCCTAGCCACGGGAGTCAAGGTGTGCGCGCCTCACCGCTGCCGCTGCCTGCCGTCCGCGCTGGGGTCATTCCCTCCTGCCCCACCAAGGCTGCGATTCTGGAGATTTCGATTACTGGTGGTCCCCCCCTGGACGTTTGGCACTTGGAGGAGTCTTGAACGTGGCCTTTCTGTTCGCTTTGCTTCCACAGCTTCGGTTGAGTTCTATGCCGCAGTCTGACAAACTTCAAAGGCACCTTGTGTGTTTGTTCATCTCCATTGGAAGTGACTCACGATCCAGCAAAAATTACCTTACTTGCCCCCATGGTGAGAGGCAATGAACTTGGCCACTTCCTTTACAATCCTACTTAGGTGGCATCTCATTGATTCTTGGTAGCCTTGCAGTGTCCTCTGCCTACCTATCTAGTGGTCTACCTGTCCCATTCAACTTGCAAAGCAGCTCCCGGAAGGAACAGAGTGGCCTCAAACCAACCGGTCCAACCCCCCAATCCATCTCGATCTCGGGAAGAGCCATGCGCACCTCTCCCCTTTCG